AAACAAACTTTATGGGGTGATGGATATTGCGACATGGTCCATACAAATGGTTGCGGAGACTGAAGAATGTGATACCGAGTCACCGAAAGGTGAATGGTTCAGTTGGCCTTGGAAGGAGTCCATCCAAAATTTGAATCCCGGACTACACGAGTGATAAGCGGGCCATTAGCCACTCCACTTTCTCCCCTTCATGGGAACTATGTAAATTACAAGCTTAAAGACATATCGAGAGGTGGGATATGTGCGTAGGGTGCGAAGTTTCGCTGCCAGCGGGTCCCACTCCCGCTCAGCAGAAATTTATGGCAACGGCTATCCCTGATGTCCAAAAATGCCGACCGTGCCAAGTGCACATGGTGATGAACGTGCGACTTCTTTGTAGCGTTCCCACTGTTTTGTGCTCTTGTTGTGTGCACGACTTTGTAGCTGTGCACGGGTAGTTGCAAGAGCACGGGTAGCTGCTGTGCAGGCTCTATGGTCCCTTGTTTGCACCTGTTTCCTCTTTCGTCTCATGTTCAGAACACGAGTGGACCCTTATTTGAAGTCTTCTCGTAGGTTTTCTGCTCTCTCCTCCGACGGTAATGCAGTCGGCACTCACTAGTTAATTTCGATACCTCACTGACCGCAAACTGCGATCGCGGATCGTCACTTCAGTGGTGACTGTGAGTTGACTTCTGTTCAGTTTGCGTCTGCTTGCTCTAATCGGCTACTCAACCAATGCTTAGCATTTATGACAGAAAGTGATCAATTCTTCAGATGGAACGGATTACAGCAGCAAACGGAAAGGAAATTTACAGTTCATGTGAAACGATGGCGTGTCACGGGCTTAATCATTTGTACTGCTATCAAATGGAAACAATACAATGGAAATCACTTGGCGTCCGGGAGGACTGGAAGGCAACTTAGGAGAAAAACACGGAAACTGGCAGTTCAAGGTTGTCACATAAATGAAGCGAAAAAATCGCGATATGCTTCGCAAATAAAGCATCTAAAGAATTTGTTTCAAGATCACATCAAGCGGATAGATCAAGAATGAGGCACAGATCAATTTGGCAGCAATCAACTCACAGCAACGTCCAATCTCGTTGTCGTCTGAAATGTCTTGTTGTTATAAAAACACATTCCCAATTGTATAATTTTAGTCAGAGTGCACTCTTTCCTTTTGAGGCGGTGAACAGGAGATAAGCGAAAAAATTATCGTGGAGGTATCGCGATCGCAGATCATCGCCGAGAACGAACTGCTCACGATCGAGCGGGAACGCGCAAAAATTGGATGCAGGAGAACTTCAGCGGACCGTCACTTGCTCGCTCTCTTCTCTTAGCGATTTTTGGCTCTGCGACGGTACGATATAGATTTCGATTTTTGTCCGATTATTTTATTTTCGCGGTTCACCTCTTTGATTTTCACTTAAGCATTCTCTTTTGTCATGATGGTGGGAAGCATGTGTCATATAGGTTACCCGGTCATGTCAGTTGTATATTCCTTCCATAGCGTTTAATTACAGTTCTCATTTCATATAATTTTCTCTTTGTTTTGTAGGTTCGACTGTGACCCTATTCCGTAGCTGCACTGGAGCTTTGTGTTTGTATGCGAAAGATTTTCGCCGCCGACACTACGAAAGACCATTGAACAATCGAGGGACTGATAAAAAACTATTCACGAAACTGGCGGATTCTCACATTCTCGAATCACGTGCATGGTAACGATCGGGATCAGAAAAAGGTCTTCTTCTGTGGGCCTCATTGTTTGGATCATTTTGCTTCGTGCACTGACCGAATAGAAAAAGCGAGGAAATTCCTAACCAGTCTCATGGAATATCGCAGCAAAAATGAGGTTAAATCTTGCCCGGCTCCCTGGAGGATTGCGGCTCGTCTTCAGAGTTCGGCTTCGGTGGATTTCAAAGTACTATGCTTCGTGATCGTGAAGGCGAAAGCAGATGGTGAGAATATAGAGTGAAAGCTCAGACATATCACTCAGGATGGGATAGGAGAACAGGCTGACTAAGTGGCTACAAGGAAGTTCGACCTGAGGGCCCTGAGGGGGTGGCTTATTCTTCGAGGGACGAGTAGCTGATCGAGGAACTTTCTGGAGGGAACATTACCGTTTGTTGGCACCCACCTGAAGGGCCGAAGAATTACAGTGGTTGTGATCGTATCATAGAAACTGAGTTACTTACGCAGGCTCTAAAGGATAGGTTGCTCCTGCACATGAGATCGGGACGCCAGAGCCTGACAAAGCGCTTCGTTTACTCGTATACGCGAAAAGACTACACTTGAGGAGCTGAAGCTTGACCGTGCGTTAGATGAGGGAGCAAGGCGGAGACGGGCGAAAGCGGGGGTGCTCCAGTACTTAGTCCAAGACTTTCGAATACATGATTAGGAACTCCGAGTGAGCTTCATCATCGCTCTCCCTGTTCCTAGCAGGAATCATGGAGAAACTCTACTTAGCCGACAGTACCGTACCCTCGGAAACATCGCGGATAAGTCCGTCTGGGAATACTTATCTTTCAAAATAGGGCCAGGGTTCTCAACTCGCATATGGATAATTCTTCTCTGTTGAACAGTATCGCAGACATTTTCTCCTTTTCAACGCTCGCTCTACAAGCAATAAGCTTCCTGACTCCACCACTCTTAAAAAACTACTCCTCCCCTCGAAGAGTTCACCGATTTACGGTGTGAAGTGGTTTGTGAACGCACATTCCTTTGGAAAAACCGAAATTGGGTTGTCAGTTACGGTGCATAAAGTTTGAAGACTTTAATCTTGAAATAAGTGTGGTTGTGGAAGATTTCGGTACCTTCTTCCTTTCAGTCGCCTCCTCCTAGGTGAAATCCACTCGTCGCATGGTCTCACATTTTTTCCATCGATAGCTGTTCCCATAAGGTCAATTATTTCACCATTTAACGCAACGTCCGCAACACAACCAACAAAATTTTTTGAGTGAAGTCCGCCTGTATCTCTGTAGACGTCCGGTACTCCCCCTAAATTTTGAGCATTTCGTGGGGGCTCGCCAATTTATTCAGGAGTCAAATCCAAGAGAATGAAGTAAACATTTTAACTTACCTATGAAGATGTTCCCATCGGCGTTGAGCATAGCCAGAATACCACTACTCAGACCATTCTTTTTAACCTGGTCGTCAATTTTCAAAACTCCACGGCGGCCTCGTCTGGAACAGAACGTCATGGAAACATACTGGCTACTAATTGTAAAACGGAGCTAAGCATACATTTGAAGCATACTCTCCTGCGGTGCGGATGATGGGGCATGTCAAGAGGGATGGATTTGGCGAGGCGGCAAACACGTTTTCTACCAGTTGCAGAAGCGAACAAGCGACAAGACTGTATCATATCGTTCGTAGCGTCGTTTTCTAGCAGTTCGTGTCGCTTATCTGCTTCAGCAACTGATGTAAAACGAGTTGGAGATGCGCACCCCAATCTCGCTGGCACGCCCATAATCCGCAGCGAGCAGGATCTAGAGAGTTTTCTCACCTCTCCAGTCGAATGTGGTGTTCTTTGTCGTCATCGACTCTGTTCTCTGATACCATATGGGCAGCACCTCCTCCTAACTCATATCTACAACAAATACAGTTGCTGTGGCACCTTACAGCTTTCGGAGATATAGAGGAATGAGAAAAGAGAGAAAACTAATGGATGTAGTAAATGTTTGCCATGTTAAGAATACCATGCGATGCTGCCTGGTAGGTGGAGCAAGGGAGCCGTGCTGTCAGCGCGTCCTTCTTGCTCCACCTTTCTCACCATCATAGGAAGCGCTATCGCGGTAGCAAAGCTTCTCGGCTTTGAGCATCCTACACTTCCGAACGCTGTCTTCGAAGGCATCTCGTTGAATCTATTGTGAGAGTAATGAAAAGATGAAGACACGCACAGCCAGGAGGAGGAGGAGAAAATGAGTAATATCAAATGAATGTAGCAACAATTAGAGATCGAAAGGAAAATGAGGGGTTTGGACAGGTGCTGGTGTAATAATGTACCAACGAGAAATGTAGATATCCATTCGACAACCCAACCGAAAAGTAATCCTCTCCGACAACAGAAGTACCAGGTTGTTGTCCTTGCCAAAAGATTACCTGAACTGGAGTTTTCAAGAACTAGGGCACTGAACATCAAGAACAAGCAACTCACTCCATCGGATTCGTTTGTCTTGAATTTGAATTCCACAACCTCTTCTTTTTCAGATGTTAAATGTGGGAACTCGTCCGACGAGATTTCCAGGAAAGAGTTGCCATCAAACTTTGCTGCCCGCTCTATTGGCTTGACTAAAATATTGCTGCCACAGCTCATGTCGATTTACTTTATAAATGCGGTGGAATTTCCTCTCGGTTTTCCGAGTACGTGTTCTTTTGTACACTAATGAGGTCTTTCACCGCATCGAAAAAAATAGCACAGTGCTCAAGTTGTGAAGGCTGCAATAGCTTATACGGTCCAGCCACTTTGCTTGCACCTTGCTACGTCACTGTAGGTCTTGCCTCCTGGATCCTTGTGTAAGAAACGATGTATAGTTGCTTGGGAAGAGCTCTTCCTAGCGCCTCAGTCCATGGATGGTGGAGTTGTATCTATGAAGAAAATGAGGAGAGTTCTGAAGAAGACGCATCCACATTCCGGTGATAATCCCTGAATGTGGTTGACCGCGTCAGGAATTATCCCTTTGCATTTTTTTCTTTCGCCTCTTGGAGACCTTACGGCCTTCCACTAGAAGTGCTCCTCGCAAAGTGAACGTTTCCAAAACTAAAATGGGTACATTATTCAGAAGTCTTTAGTCACTATCGGCTTCTAACACCAGGGGTTTGTTGATGCTTGGGAGATTTGATTCAATATGATTCTAGGGATATTCTTGCTCAGTCTTATGGGAATCCAATAAGATCGAAAAATCGACAACAAAAGCAACTGTACAATTTCGTTCGCTGCACATGTTGGGGGTGTCAGGAGCGCTGGGTTTGGCAAAGCGCCAGCCTGTTCTCCACCAACTGCTGTGGCTTGCCCGTTTCAACAGTTGTTGGAGAAGGTGCGCGCTGGCGTCGCGCCGGCGACGCCAGCACTGACGCGTCATGATGACTTCGGTGATAACGACTGCGTCTTATTTCAGGTTTAATGTGAGCTTATGCATTTTTTGCTATCAATATAGTGAACAAACTATTAATGTTTAATCAAGGAAGTACTGACTTCATGTTCCCTACATTTACCGCTACTGTAAGAAAAGAAGTTAGAAGAGAGTTAGAACTCACATAAATTCAACAGCGAGGACCATCGTAGTATAATTTGCACTGACACCTGTAGGAGGTTTGGTTTATCGGAACACAGTCCCCATTTGGACCGCATCCATGATCAATGCATGCCTTTGATAGGCACGCTTCCCCTGAAACGACACCTTTGAAATCTTATAAATAGAAGAATTGAGTTCTTGTTACAAAAAAGAAGAACGTAGTCCAATCGCGTAGTGCACGCGATCGTCCTGAAAGACTTCAACGTAGTGATACTTTGATCTTGTGGAATTTCTTCACTGGACGCTACTGTCTCCGATAGATCCCGCTGTCGGGTCGTTTTCATAGGATTTTCTAACACTTCTCGAAATTGTCAGACATCGACATCTGAAGACGCACAGTCTTTCTCAATCGCCGCGCTGGGCGCTGTAAGGGGAGCGAGTATGCAGGCGCGCCGCAAACCCGGTCCTCAAACTCGTTCAATTGAAGCGATCAAGCCGGTAATTATTAAGTTGTGGAAACGTGGCTGGCGCAGCCCCAAACTAGCTCCTTGGCAAACCCACTGCCTCTCGAGGCAAACAAAAAGCTTAAATCATCAATTTCCAGAAATTTGTAATAAATGGTATAAAATTGCTAGGGCTGCTAAGTGAGTTGATCTGATACATATTCAAATCAAATTAGACTGTGGAAAAGGGTATACTAATGGATTTCAATTTGTTAGCTCACTGCTGCGTCATTTAGCTAACAAGGGAGGTCGTTCAGGAGAGGGCGTGCCCCCTTAAACATGCAAAGACGGTCTATTTGCATCTTGTAAGGGACTCGTAGCATGGACTCCAAAAAGATGCGTGTTCATTTTTATTGTGCGGCGCCAACCGTATGCCAAAAAGGAGCAAATACCTCTTCCCAAAGGAGGGCCATATTTGCAACAACCAAAATGCCATGTCCACGTGAAGCTTGTAGCGTCGAAATCACGTGTATCGAGGTCGTTTATCTTCTCTTGAATTTTGTAAACCACTCAAAACTATGCCCCATTTATTGGAACACGATTCCTATGCGTAGAGTTCGCAGAAGTTGCTGTGTCCACACCAGCAAGGACCGCCCACCTTCCCTCGTGGTGGTCAAAATGCGGCAGTAGGGGCTCTGGAACGTGAGGAATGGTGGGTACTTGAATCGGATCCGCCGATGTCTTTGTATTGTGCTGGGACTCGCCTTTAGCCATTTCACTGTCATCACTTTCCGTTTGACTGAAATGGTGCAAAACCGCAATCATAACCGATTTGGTCACGTTCGCACCATTTCATTGAACCTTGATGTAGACATTTTTACGTCCATGATCGCTAACGTGTTGGATTTTTCATATCATTTTATTAACACCACAAATTCAGCAATTGTGATAAGTTTCTACGAAGCATGTGAAGCACAAGCGCTTGCCGCACCAACCAACCAGGGCACAGCATTCGATGGGGATTTTGGTCGAGCTTTCACGACCCCCCCCCCCCTTTTTCAGGGGCTGGTACGATCCCCCCTCCCAACAAACAAATCAAACGACCGCACCCCCCCTCCGAACGTCACAGATGCGAGAATGCAAACTATAACAAAAATTTCCCGAGCTCCAAATACGAACCCCCCCTTTTGGCGCCAAATACGATCCCCCCATAGGGAACCAATGCTGTGCCCTGCCAACCACACTTGACGAAAGCCAACAAAGTGCAGGTGTTGTTTCCTTGACACGGGACATGCTCGACAACTCATAAAATGCGACAGAACGTGCCAAATCGTATATTTGCGGTTCGCCCCATTTTACAACACATACTGGAAATGCTAAAGGAGAAGTCCCAGCAAATCAAACACGATACCCGGGTCGGAGTTCCGATCCCAAGAACGCCACTAACCACCACACGTTCCAGAGCCCGATCCACTATCCACGCCGTTTGACCACCACGAGGGGAAGGTGGCGTCCATTGCTTATGACACTGCCACAACCTTCTGCGATCTCCCCACTACGCATAAGGAATCGTGCTCTATAAATGGGCATATTTGAAGTGGTTTACAACATTCAAGAGAAGATCACCCTCAATACAACGTGTATTCGACGCTACAAGCGTACTGGACTGCATTTTGGTGGTTTAAATGGCCCTTCCTTGGGAGAGGTATTTCGCTCCTTTTTTGGCATACCGGTGGCCGCACAGCAAAAATGAACACCACTTTTGTAGTCTATGTACGAGCCCCTACAAAATGCAAAAGACCGTTTTGAAAAAGCGGGGCACGCCCTGAACGACCTTCCTGGTAAGATCTGAAGTATCTACCTTCTTCTTCCTCCTCTCTTTCTTCTTCTCGTTTGACCTCATCAACCTTTGGTATTATTGGTTCTGGAGCGTCCGAGTCTTTGACGGTGTTGTAAAAGTGCACTACCTCTTCCGTCGTGGTTACCTCTGTGGTGGTAAGCTCCGCTTCCGTTGGTGGTTCTGAAGTTAGTGGTTTCACGAAATCGCGTTTGGTGCTTTCACCAAATCAGCATCACGGGTCTCTGTTGTAGAGGCCTAACCGCCTGCTTGATCCATGAATGGAAAGTGCACATACACTCCACATCCGGAAAGTGTGGTGAAAGGGTCGCAGTTGCTTAAAGGCAGTTGGCACGATAAATCCCCCAAGGCGACTAGGATCAATACTCCTGGCAGGATAGAATTCCGCGACCCTGGGCAGGCGCTGCATAGCGGTTTCCCCGAGGAAGGTGCCCTTATAAGGGCCCTATCAAGCCACAACTTTACGTCCCAAACGCCCGCCACGCCCGCCCGCCCACAAATGGACGACCGTTCCTGACGCTCGTATTCATTCATTTGCTAAGCAAATTATGAAGCGAAGGGATTGGTATGAAGCGGCCGTGATGCTGCATGCATACATGGGTACACATATGCAGCCGT